ATATCACATGTACCTTGTATACCCCACAACATTTATCTCTGTATCCTATGTACTAGGCAAAGTAAACCTTAAGACAGTTTGAGAGAGAAAGTTGCCTCAGATGATATAAAAGTATCTCTCGCGGTTTCACCTATACCAATATATTTATATACTTTAAACCTGTTTACCATATGTTACATCGATCCAGGATTTTGAATTTGTAACCAGATAGATGATCCCAACTGGATAACTACAATTTGTATATGTTAGCATTTAAACAATGTATGTTTATAATTGAACAATGTCTTTGTCAAGCTACCCAAAAATGTTAAAAACAATAAACAGGAAAAATTAAAAGTAAAAAAAAAATAAATAAATAAATAAATAAATAAATAAATAAAGGCAAATTATGACTGGAAAAAAAAATATAAAAAATAAATAAATAAATGCCTAAATTTAGTGGAGCTACATTTTAAGATCATTAACAGACTCTATTGTGTTCCTAGCCGGCTAAACAAAATAGACCAGAGTAAAACAGATATATGCTGGAGATGCGAAGGGGGAGTGGGAGATTGTGTACATATTTGGTGGAGTTGCCCCCCACTTAAGGAATTTTGGAAGTGTTCTTGTCCAAAATTGAAGTGGTAACCGGATCTAACTTCCCCTTTGCCCCAGAAATGCTTATATTACATTTAAATATCTATCAGTATAATGTAGATTTGCAACACTTTTTTACCCACGCATTAATAGCAGCAAAGATTTCTATTGCTAGAGAACTAAAAATCTACCGAATTGGGACATAGTAAAAACCTACTAATTTCGCAACTTAGGATGGAGGGAGGTTTAAATAGAAACCTGAAGAAAACATTTTTATTTCACATAAATACATGGTTAAAAAAATTGTTGGCAGTAGATTAATATACATAGAAGAGGAAAGGGAGGGAAAAAGGAAAGAGAGAGAAAAAAAGGGGGGGGGGGAGATGAGGAGAAAAGAGAAGGAAGAAGAAAAAGAAAAAAAGAGGAAAGAAGAAAGTGTTATCTCATATATCAGTATTATGAATAGCAATGCAGAGAGACTGTGGAAGAGGGTTTCATCATCGCGTGTGAATGTTGTGTTGGTCTTTTTCTTTCTTTGTTAATGAGTAATATTAATGTTTTATATAAAGTCATATAAATAGGAAAAAGAGGGGAGAGAAAACATTGATGATGACTAATATACCAATGCCTGAGATGCAGAAGGCTTGAAAGAATATAAGAGGCTGGTAACGTCTGAACTGAAGGAAAAAAAAGAAAGAAAAAAAAAATGTAGTTGTGACCATTACAATACTGACTTACAATATAAATCTATCATGGCCGAAAATGTTTATGACGCTCAGCCAAACACTGGATGAGGTTGATTGGAGTTATATTACACAGAATTAGTTTAGCATGTGGCTGCCTCACCATGCCATTTTAACGCCCACCAGCCTTACACAGAATCTCACGGTGTATGATAGGAGTGATACTTCAGAAGGGACAGGCAACTCCTTGTACTCAAATCAATAGTACAGAAAGATGGGCTTGTGTTTTCTCTGAACCTTGCACCTAAGAAGGGCAGAGGTAAAAAAAAAAAAAAAAAAAAAACAATTTATGTTTTTTCTTTATCACTGAGTAAAAAGTAATTATCTTAAAGCCAAGTAGCACGAGTTTTGAAACTGTGGTTGAAACCCACCTAGTCAGAGATAGCAGGGTGTGACAGTATGCATCCCAACTGTACAGACATCTCTTTAGAATGTCTGGCTGCAGGGATGCTCCATGTCAGGCCAATCTAGTCTGATTGTCATCCTGGTAGATGGATTAGCTGGTAAGGGGAAAAGTGCTTGTGCTCTTCACACCAGAATAAATCAGTTTATGTTGCTACAGTAAGCATTGAGCTACTGCTGGCTGTGTAATAGCCACAGGGAGACACTGTATAATCTCTCCACTGTATTTGATGTTAGCATGCTCTGATGACAAATACAAAATCTGCACAAAACGGATATTGTCAGCCAGGAAGACAGTGTTCTAGCCGGCTGATTGACAGCCAGGGAGGGGGGCCCTAAACAGAGAAAAATGATTTTCTTCGGAATTAAATGTTTTTCTGTTTTTTTTTTTAAAGAAGGCTGCAGGGACATGGCCTTTGCACTGTAACCACTACACTAAGATAAAGTGGTATGGCGCTTGAAATGGCCCTTGCTATGACAAATGAACTTAAGTTTAGATACATCAAATTTCTTTGGAACATCTTTAAGTTATTTCCACACTTTGACTGGAGTCCACTTGTGGCAAATGTTATTGACTGGAAATGATTTGGAAAGGGACACACCGGTCTATATAACATCCTATAGCTGTAAATTGTAAAAACTAAGCCATGAGCGGTCAATGGAACTACCCGCAGAGCTCAGACCAAACTGTGTAAGTGCACAGATCTGGGGAAGGCTACAGAAAAAAAACCGAATTGCTGCATTGAAGATTTCCAAGAGCACCGTGGCATCCAAACTTCTTAAATGGAAAAAGTTTGGAACAAGTAAGGCTCTTCATAGAGCTGTCTCTAAAAGAAGCCTTTTATTGGACCTCGTAGAGCATAGTAGTGACGCACAAGGCGTGGAAACACTCAATGAGAAACCCGCCCAGCACTGGATTTGCTGAAAGTTTATTCTTATTTTACAGTTTTTGTAATTAAGAAGAGAGGAGTGAACAAAGTTCTTTTGTGAATAATAACATATTATATCTAAAAGAAGGTATAGTGAAAAAAGTGTTGGAGTAGTCATTTAACTCATGGTTAATAGAAGATAATTAATCAACTTACTGCTTCTTACTAGTAAAAAAGTTAATAATCTACACACCAAATAATAAAGCTTAAATTCCACAAATTTTAAAGAATATTTACAACAACCTCAAGCAGCATGTAAGCCTGCTAATTATTTATTACTTACAAATCCTGGTATTTGTAAATTGTTCAGTGTCCATACATTTTCTGTCATTCCTAATTAACGGCGCTTCTCCACATTCGATAAATGATACTATTGGAGGGGTCACGTTTATCCACCCTGTGTTTGTAACAAGATTATTTCATAAGATTAGATTTTAAGAGACACTTCAAAACACCATAACTTCTACAGCCTGTTTTGTCACGGTTTACCACTTACTTGGGTCCCGCAGGCACCTGTGCCACATCTGGTTTTCTCCAGCAGGAGCAGTCAGATGTCACATTAGAGCACAGCAGGACCGATGCAGAATCACAAACATTGTCTGAGAAAGCACAGCTGGCATTCTGAGCCAAAGATTCAGGGATCAAAGAATTCACTAGCCACTGGTAAGCAGAAATTTACCCCTGATGTGTATGATATGACATGCAAAAGCAAGTAACTTGTAAGGCCTGGCTAGGAGCCTAAGGCTTTATATTGTAAGCCCCAATTGCAGCCTTGCATTGGCCCTGCTTTGTTCTAAAGTGATTACAAAAATGGAAAAAGGAACCACACTCAATTCACTTAAGACAGGGTGCTTAGCTGAACCAAGGCCCAGCACAAGCCCAAGAGATAATAGATACCATTATAAGAGAAAGGATCCAGGCACTCCAATGTCCTAAGGCACCTTTATTAGAACATGTGGAACACTGCAACATTTCGACCCCAAATGATGTGCTTGACAAAGACCCCAATTGGGGTCGAAATATTGCAGTGTTCCACAAGTTCTAATAAAGGTGCATGAACCCTTTCCCTAATACTTGTTCTAAAGTGATATCTGGCTTCTCTTGCTGGAGAAGGCCCGCTGCGGCAGGTGTGGAGCAGTTGGCCTGCAGGTAAGTAAGTAAAACTGTGCTAAAATGGGTTTTAGTGATTACGGTTGGAGTATTCCTTTAAATCACCCCAAACCTTTCACACACAAAATTGATCGTAACATATTCTCACCCAGAGACCTGAGGGTCCGGAAATTCTCCATCATCACGTCCATGTAAAGCTCTTTATCGTCTTCTGTTAAACAGCCCCATTCATCCTCCGAGAAGTAAATGGCGACTTCATCAAACGCACATTGTCCCTAAACAAGAACATGCTTTATTTGTGGATGTTTCTTTGTCACAACCTCCCAGACCAGTAGTTTCTGCAATATGTCCATCATCTACACTAACACTACCCAGTAAAACTTGTCTCGGTCATAGAGGGTCTGTCTTTGTTTGTTCCACCCGCCAGCTATGTCTCTCCTTTGAAAGTATGCTGCATCAGCAACGCATGGCTCATTATATGCATAATTACCTCTTTATTCATCTTAATGTACACACGTTGGAGAATCCAAAAACTAGATTCTTTCTGATAGGTAGAAATCTGTTCGTTAACCCAGCGCCTTCCTGCTAAAAAAGAGACAGATATCAGGGGAGACCAGTCATTACCACATCCAAAATACTTCCTGTGGTACACATGAATGAAAGACAAAATGCTATTGTAAGACTGCACTACAATTAACATGCAAGCTACATAGACCCAACCAAAACGGCATTTCTCAAAACCAAAAGATATATGGACTACCATAGTGGCTTCAGGAAGCTCTCTCTTTCTATATATCTATATATAGTCCCGCCAGGGGACTGAAACGTCGCTCTCCTCTGACTTTTTTGTTCTCCATGTAAATAAAGACACCTTTTTTTGAATGCAAACCGTAAGTGCAGACCCAAGCCATTATATATATACACATACACACACGCACTCTCTCTGATATTGCACTAATTGTTGTTTAAGTAGCATTATTAAACTATTCTTCAAGGTTAGCCATGAAATAATTTATGTGTGTGTAATAATGCTACTTAAACCACATTCCAAGTACAATATCAGAGAATGAATGTAAAGAAATACAGCATACACATTATATAAAGGAAATCATGACCAGCAAGGCGTGTGCATTATGTGGATTTACTCCCACTAAGGCATAGTAACAGTAGACACGGTCAGGCAGTTAGTGAATTGCATCGGCACCTGTCAAGACTCAGAGCCGTGATGGGATATGTCTCTGCCCATTCTCTAGGAGAAAGTCTGGAAACGTAAATACTCTTGTAACGTTCAGTACTCCTGTGTCTTCTTCCTATGGTTTGGTGCCTCATGCAGTTGGATGCAGGGAAATGTGACATCATATCCCACCGTCTGCTGTATTAAAGAGCCCGTACAAAATCAGGGGGTAGAGATAAAGAACATTGTGTCCACTAGATTACATTAATAGGCTCTGTGACACTAAAAGACTGAATATTGGGGATTTATGTTCTAAAATCTGTGTTTCTGTTATCTTCCCGAGTCCTGTCATTAATAAAATTCACATTGGCTGGTGTTTGGGGAGCGATGCAAAAGAGCTATTCAACACTTCCTCAAGTGATTTGCTGTGGGTTATGGAAGAAGAAAAGCTGAAGGTTGCTTCACAGAACCCTTAGGGACAGGGAGAAGGGATGGACGTGGTAACAGGTCAGCTCTGGTCCTCAAGCCTGAGACCATTGTACGCTGATCCTGTTACAAAATCGATCTCCACAATCAATCGGAATGGGGCCTCATTCAATGTTTCTTTTTATTTACACTTTAATTTTATGCAAATTAGAGTAAGAGATAGAGCCCTTTTAAACGTGTCAGTGAGTGTTTGAGTTTTAGAGCCCATGAGATTGTTTAACAATCCATCATTAACACTAATTATTTAATAGGCGTGCCGTAAATATATCGAAAATACAGATTAGGGAACTGTGCTCACAAAAAAATAATAAATAAATAAAAATACAGTTTTACAAGGCTACTCGAAATCACATATCATAGCAAATAAATATGGGGATTCAGTTACACCATATGGTCATATTATGTTAAGCCCACCAATACGTCACAGCAGTACCCCAATATCGGTGGGTCCTACAATAATTCTAACATGGGAGATTAACATGCTAACTGCAATATTTACTGCTTAAACTGCTTTTAGAGATTCTGCTAAATGTATGCTTTTCTGGTATCACCTCCAAAGGTGCACCATTAGTGGATGGGTGGGGTGCTCGACCCAATAGGAATCTGGTCTAAATTCCAAATATACACAGAAAAAAGGGAAATGAGGGGGCAATTATTTGGAGTTTCATAGACATGAACCATCAATCAAATAGGTTCGTAATCATAAATTCAATCGGAAGGCAAATTCATGAATTGAATATCTACAAAAGTTTAATCAATTAGCTTACCCTAAAAGAGGCGTTCGTGAATCTCAATCATCTGTTAGCACCTGTGAGAGTGAAGCTTGTATGGTAGCAGTAATTATGCAGGTCTTCTTTATAGAGCCCTACAGCGAGAAGAAATAGATTAGCAGTAGCAAAAGATTTCAAGAGATGTACCAGAACACATTTAATCTCTATTCTAACATAAGAAGGGATCCCCTCTTCATGTGAACTTTGTGCATCTGTTAAAAAACGGGAAGCATTAGAAGCATTCCTCTCTATGTGTAATATAAGGTGTAATAAAAATCTCAAACAAGATTAACATATATATCGGGCAGTCACTGGGGTATCCCTAGCCCCCCTGGCATCTCTAAGCAATCACTGCCTTTTTATCTAGAGAAACCAACATAGGGATATCTAATACCCCCAAATACTATATATAGTGACTTCTATTCTCCCAGTTACCTATATATAGACATCGAATCCCCTTAACACCACCCTCCATTATATAAGAACTTTTATTCCTCCAATAACCTACATAGGGGCATCTAACCCACCCTTATAACCTATACATGGGTATCTACTCCCCAATAATCTATATGCAGACATCTAATCCCCGAAAAAATACATACTAACTTCTCCCTATGTAGGTTATGGGAGTAGGGAGTTCGTTATCCTTGTTTAGGTTACTGATAGAAAAGAAATTACTATCTAAAAAGGATAACTAACTCCCCACTCCCATAGCCTACATAGGGACATCTAATCCCCCAAAAACCTACATAGGGACATCTATTTCCCCTATATACGAAATAGCATCATCTAATCCCCCCAGTATCCTGTATAGGATCATCTAAGCCCCCTCCCCCCCCCCCAGTATTCTGTATAGGATCATCTAACCCCCAGTATCCAGTATAGGATTATCTAACCCCTGTGCATCCTGTATAGGATTATCCAACCCCCCAGTATCCCTGTATATGTATTTGCCCAACCCCCCAGCATCCCGTGTATAGGATTAGCCCAACCCCCAGTATCCTGTATAGGATTATCTAACCCCCCCAGTATCCTGTATAGGATTATCTAATCCCCCAGTCTCCTGTATAGGATTATCTAATCCCCCAGTCTCCTGTATAGGATTATCTAACCCCCCCAGTACCCTGTATAGGATCATCTAACCCCCCCAGTATCCTGTATAGGATTATCTAACCCCCAGTATCCTGTATAGGACATCATTCATCCCCCAGTATCCTGTTTAGAGAGATAATCCCCCAGTACCCCTGTATAGGACATTCAACCCCCCAGTATTCCTGTGCTAGGATTATCTAACCCCAGTATCCCTGTATAGGACATCTAAACTCTAGTATCCTGTGCTGTATAGGACACCCAACCCCCCCAGTATCCTGTATAGGGATCATCTAACCCCCCCAGTATCCTGTATAGGATCATCTAACCCCCCCAGTATCCTGTATAGGATCATCTAACCCCCCCAGTATCCTGTATAGGATTATCTAATCCCCCCAGTATCCTGTATAGGATTATCTAATCCCCCAGTATCCTGTATAGGATTATATAACCCCCCCAGTATCCTGTATAGGATTATCTAACCCCCCCAGTATCCTGTATAGGATTATCTAACCACCCCAGTATCCTGTATAGGATTATCTAATCCCCCAGTATCCTGTATAGGATTATCTAACCCCCCCAGTATCCTGTATAGGATTATCTAACCCCCCAGTATCCTGTATAGGATTATCTAATCCCCCCAGTATCCTGTATAGGATTATCTAACCCCCCCAGTATCCTGTATAGGATTATCTAATCCCCCCAGTATCCTGTATAGAGAGATTAACCCCCTGATCCCTCACATGGTGAATTCTATTCTCCTAATAATTCATATTCAGATTTCTAATCCCCAATAACCTCCATAGACATTCTATTTCCGGTGTTACCGGGTGAGGATTAGTGTCGGGCACTCAGCAAACAAGCAGCTCAGTCTCCCTCTGTTCACCAACGTCGCAGACACGCATGACGCGCGATTGTGACGTCATCTCGCTCGGCTCCCCGCGGGTTGCATGCCGGGAGTTGTAGTATCCCCATGCACAGTGTCAGGGAGGCTGTTACAGCAATACATGTATTCTCATGTAAAAACTGTCGGCTTTAGGTTACCTTGTCAATATCTCTATACTAACATTATGCGAAGATCTGTTTATTTACCTGCCTTGAATCCAGACATTTACAAAAAGAAACAAGTAATTGATTGTTCACAATAAAAAATAATTTTAATATACTGAGTGTATATCATTACTGAGTGGGCGGACCATGCTGCATTGGACTTTACACAAATTATAGATCACATAGAGCAGTACATGGTAATGGCGTACCTGCAAACCATTACGGTAACACTTTAGTATTGGGAATACATTAACATGTTCCTCTGCCCCAGCCAGCACCCCCTCCCCCCGCAATGTAAAGGGTTAAATAAGCCTTTATTCTGTTACAGAATGCCAGCTCCGACTACGCCTCCTCTGATGGGGCCTCAAACGCGCATGCACTAGGCCTTTCCCATAGAAAAGCATTGCCTCAATACTTGTCTATGGGGTTTTCTCTAATGCTGGCCGTCCTCATGCAGAGCGTCGTATCACAGAGACAAACTCCTTGAAACTCCAGGAAGCGCCTCTGGTGACTGTCTGATAGACAGGAACTAGAGGCTGTCTTAGTACTGCAATGTAAACACTAACATTACAGGACTAAAAGGGACTGGGACACTGCACACAGACCACTTCAATGAGAGCCCTTTAAGTGCTTTTCTAAGCAGGAAAAGTTGTTTTTTTTCTCTATCCCCTGCCACCTTCCATCTCTTTAACAAAATAATTTCAGGGAGATCCACTAGGGTGAGAAATGATGGGTATTCAAAGTGAATTTCAAATCTGAAGCGGCTCTGTCACCTTCCCCACTAGTGACAGCTAAGGGCTAGACAGAGCTCGACAGCGGTAGCTCCACCTTTTTGTCAAGCTTAGAGGAGCATTGATTGGCCTTCGACGCATGCATGGTGAGCACCGCAAATACGCCAGTCAGCCTCTTCACATAGAAGATAATTGAATTCAATGCTTTCTATGTAAATAATAGAATAGTAGATGTCACATTAGTGCAGCCTCTCCGTTCGCAAGCGGTGAGAGGTGACTGACAGCTCATCTTGCTCTCAATCCCGCCCGCCTCTTGATTTTTAATTTTTTTCTCCAAGGAGCGGCAAATAGCAACCAACTGATGCCTGTAAGCTGTAAAATGAGGTGGCAGGGGACTAATACATTGGTGGGCAAAGGGAGGGAATTTTATGGAGGGAGGATGAGAGAAAGAATATAAGGGCTGGCACTGTGTTTAATTTAAATACAGACAGTGGTGAACAGATGGAGGCTGGGATAACGCTAAATCAAGGCACATCTAAGAGACTGTATGCAAAATACCAAAGGCTCCACTTGCAGGCGTGCTCACAGCACTGTCTGGAAATAAAGAGTCAGCAGAGTTCTGGGCAGCCGAAGTTACGTGTGTGCTGGGGTGTAACTAGCCCTGGCACAAAGATGTAGGTATCTATGGAAGTGCAGTGATTCAAGCAGAAATACTGTACATAAAGATTCCTTCCTCCATGACCACTTCAAAAAGCAGAATTGGCCATGGACGTTGGTATCGCTTTAATATCAAAATAGACAAAACTGACATTTTCTTGAAGTCAGATGTGCTTACAGCTCGTCTGTTGTGAAATTCCCTTTCAATTCTCACTTTAGTAAATAAACCTGTTGGAGATTTTTTTCTAATCCACATATTTTGGCTTCAATTCTGCAATTCTGACTTAAAAAAAAAACCTACATACAGAATTTTCACTTTTTTTACAAATTACTGTCAAACTTTACCACTGAATCCTCATCACGAGCTATATAAATATACAAATTTAATGGGGGTAGATTTAATTACATGTTCTTTTTGAAGATGTGTGCTTGGGCCCCCAAACTGTCTTTTTTTTTTTTTGCTACAGATTAGGCCATGTGACTGGGAGACCGTGTAGCCCATTTCAACATTTGCCACCTCCATAAACAATGTCATTATAGGATGCAAGTAGGGCATTTGCATGTGATTCAAGCCAACCTTTACATAGATGGGGAGGAAATGAAGATGCTATGGAATTAATAGATCTATTAACTAAACATCGACTTGTTTTGGACTGAATGGAGTATTGGGAAATTTAGGCAAAAATATCCATTCTGCAAATTTTCTCCAGCTCTGCTATAGTGACAACTTGGCTTAAATTTTGCCGTTCGATTTTCAGTTCACTACAATGTGCTCAGTAAAACCCCAAAATCTGTTTCTACTTTTCACTATTACATGAATTCACCAGTTTAGTGTCGGTCCAGAACTGGCCATCTTTTTTCACTGAGGGCTAGCAAATTGCTCTATATATGACATGGAAGCAGTTGTAAAAACATTTTTTAACCAGCCTCCACATACACAAAATTAACTAGATGAGGGGAGGGTGGAAAAAAAGTCTTCTGGCAAATTGGGACTTCTTTTCCAGCTATACTCCAGGCTAGATTATTTACAGCTCTTTGTGTATATCACAAAATACATGAGGAATTCATCTTGTTCAGAAATTGCTTTGGGAGTTATTTAGATAAATACTGATTTGCAGTAGATTGAGAACCAAATTTCTAAATTAACTCTAAACTAGCAAAGCTATGACTAAAGTGGAGTTGAAGAATTATTCCAGATGAGTTATTTTGGCCTAGATTTTACACTTCAGATGTCTGTTAGCTATAATTTGTTTTTGGTGAATAAACTCCTACATTATTTGTTTAGGTGAGGTCTTTCTGATGTAAAAGAACAGCACAGTGTTTGGAATACAAATTCTTAATGCTATAGTTTTACCCTATTTTGGTGTCCATCCCCTCTGTGAAGGTTTAAACGGTAAGTTTTATACCCTGGCTGTGATCATCAAGATTAACGATCTTAGTCAATTCAATGCTTCCCCATAGGCAAGCATTGGGGTGCTAGTGAGCATGCAGGGCAATTTGCTGCACCAATCAAATGCTCTTGAGGAGCACATTTTATTGAGAGCAGAGTGTGACTCTGTTCTCACAGGGGAAGTGCCTCTAGTGGCTGTAAGGAAGACTTCACTTCTATCAATATGTATATACAAAAATAACAGGGCACTCTGCTTTTATCCTGGCGCAGGTTTATTGGATATCACAGCGATGTTTGGTTCTGGCTTGAAAAAGGACTCTTGTCGCAGCAGAGTCATCGCTGTAATAGCCAAGAAACCATCTTACAGAAAGAACCAAACTGCCCGGTTATTTCTGTGTCACATAGCACTAAAGGGTAACTGTTACTTCTGAGGAAATTACATTAATTAATAAAACACTGAACATCACCATAACCTTTTTATCTCACGATCCATTGTCTTTTAAATGTATACCAAATATTTAGCAATTGACATCACAATCCAGATCAGTCACGGCACAGCCAGGACACACAATGCACTGAAGAAATGACAGATTCCCCATTACGTGGAGTTCCTTGTGTGAAGCAGCTGATGCTTAACAAGATGGGATGAAAACGTAAATCTTTTCCCACATTCAGCACACGAGTGGAGTTTCACTCCAATGTGAGTTCTCTGATGAGATGCAAGTCTTGATTTATAAGTGAAGCATTTCCCACAGTCAGGGCATGCAAATGGTTTATCACCTCTGTGAACGTGTTGATGCTTTGCAAGGCCAGATTTATCAGTAAAACATTTTCCGCATTCAGAGCAAGAAAATGGCTTCTCTCCTGTGTGAATTCTCTGATGTGTAATTAGATACGAAGAGCAGATAAACCCTTTTCCACACACAGAACATGTGTGTAGTTTCCCACTAACATGGATTTTTTGATGCACACTAAGCCTCGACTTATTAATAAAACATTTTCCACAAGCAGAGCATGGGAATGGTTTCTCCCCTGTGTGAACCATCTGATGTGTAACCAGATCTGATTTATAAGTAAAGCATTTCTCACAATCAGGGCAAGAAAATGGTTTATCTCCTGTGTGAATCATCTCATGTTTAACCAGGTTTGATTTGTAAGTAAAAGACTTTCCACATTTGGAGCAAGAAAACGGTTTCTCTCCAGTATGAATCTTCTGGTGTTTAACAAGATGTGAAACACACGTAAAGTCTTTCCTACATTCAGCACTCGAGTGAAGATTACCCCCTGTATGAGTTCTCTGGTGTTTAACCAAATTTGATTTATGCGTAAAACAATTCCCACATTCAGAGCAAGAAAATGGCTCTCCATTGTGAGTGAGCCGATGCTTTGTCAGCTCAGAGGAATGGTTAGAACACGAGAATTCTTCTTCTTCTGTGCCAACTATCCAATGTTGAACTAGCTCAGAGTTAGCAGTAGGACATTTCTGGCTGTCAGAGCTTTTATACAGGCCCTTTATAGTGCGAGGATTTTCGTAAGTAGCAGATTCAGTATTACAGTGTTTATCCTGCTCAGTGCATTCCGTTACGTTAATGGGAATCATTTTTATTATTTGGAAGTTTTTCATTACACTATCCTCAGAGCTGACCCCTTTACCTGTTTCACTATGTTCCATAGCTGTATTGTTCCAAGTTTCTATGTCATTTCCTTTTTCACATGGGGCTGGTTCCTCTTTAATACAAGCAGATGTATGTCCTGTAGAAGTGTCAGGATCTGTTAGTTTTCCTATTTCCCAAGTGTTCGATTCCTCCTTAATATGAATAGGTGTATATACTGTCTGTATATTATCTGTGGGTGTATAAATATCTTCTTCGCTTGAGGTTGATTTCTCCTTGAAAGGACTGGTTACAAAAATATCACATAAAGCTGCCTCCGCTTCCCATTTACTCATGTGGTTTAGATGTGTTTTTTCTACAATCAAGTATTTTGTTCTTTTGAAGTCAGTTTTATAATTGTCCGTACATTCTGGTAAATTAGCAGGTGTATGGAAATCTTTGGGTGTAGGTCT